CCGGAGGCAAAAAAAACAAAAAAAAAAACACAAAACAAAACAACAAGAGCTACCGACTAAACAGAGTCTTCATCTAAAAACCCTGTAAAATGTCCCACCTCCTGTTTTTCCGAGCGGCCGCAACTCCCAGAGGCTCACTGCTAACGGATCAGGCAAGGCTGCAGCCCCACCTGCTGGCCACGCCGTGCGGGCTCTCCCCAGGCAGCGGCCTCTCCACCCTGCGGGAACAGAGGCTCCCACCTGCCGCCACCGGCCACGGCATGGCCGAAGGAGCAGAGGAGGGCCTCGGCCCGCGGGCACGGCGCACAAGCCCCCGGCCAGCCCGTGCCAGTGCCCCAAGGCCTCTGAAAAGGTAAAACGTGCCCTTCTCTGACACCACTGGAAATCAGTGCCAAAGGGAGAACGGTCTTATTTTGGTACCTTGCACATCAACAAATATGCTGGTTCATCCTAACTTGGTTAAGAGAAAATGCACATGGTCTAAGGGCGGTGCTTGTCCACTTATTCCATTTTCACTCACAAGTCCATGTGTCCTCACTACATACAGAAAATGAAAGCATCAACTTCTGTCTTGGGGCATCCAGATGCAAGAGGCCTCAGGGACAGACAGGGCTCCATGCCTGCTCTACGCCACTACTGATCCCGTGAGAAAAACAAACCAAAGAAACCTCGTCACAGGTCCACGCTAGAAATAAGAATCCCTGGGACACCTGGGTGGCTCAGTCGATTGGGCGTCCGACTTCAGCTCAGGTCAGGATCTTGCGGTTCGTGGGTTCGAGCCCCGCATCGGGCTCTGTGCTGACAGCTCAGAGCCTGGAACCTGCTTCGGATTCTGTGTCTCCCTCTCTCTCTGTCCCTCCCCCACTCATGCTCTGTCTCTCTCTCAAACATAAATAAAAACATTAAAAAAAGAAAAGAAAGAAAGCCAACATTTAGGGGAATAAAAGGGGCAGCCGGTGGCTCAATCGGTTAAGCATCCAACTTCGGCTCAGGCCATGATCTCAGTTTGTGGTTCAAGTCCTGCATGGGGCTCTGGGCTGACAGCACAGAGCCTGGAGCCTGCTTTGGATTCCGTGCCTCCCTCTCTCTTTGCCCCTCTCCCACTCGCACTCTGTGTCTATCCCAAAAATAAACATTAAAAAAAAACCTTATAAAAGAAACAGTAAGAACCCCTTCGTAACCAATCATGTTCCTCATAGTGTATCTCTCCAGAAACGACCGTTATTTCACACATCCACCAGGTACAAAAATACACCCCAAATCATAGAGACATGTGAACCATGACCCCAGCATTTCCTACGCTGCACAGTCAGAGGGTGGCAGACAAGACAGACCTACTACTCAAAAAGTCTTAACGCGGGGCACCGGGGTGGCTCAGTCGGTTAAGCGTCCGACTTCAGCTCAGGTCACGATCTCGCGGTCCGTGGGTTCAAGCCCCATGTCGAGCTCTGGGCTGATGGCTCAGAGCCTGGAGCCTGCTTCCGATTCTGTGTCTACCTCTCTCTCTGCCCTTCCCCCACTCATGCTCTGTCTCTCCCTGTCTCAAAAATAAATAAAAAACGTTAAAAAAAATTAAAAAAAAAAAATAGTCTTAACGCTAAACACACACTTCCAACAACACCCAATAACACAAATAAATTCTTGGCTCTTTTTGCAGAAAATAAAAATAAAATCTTTCAGACAATCAAAAAAAGCAATTGAAAACAGAATGTGACCAAAGATACTTTAAATAACACCCAGAAAAATGACTCTGGAATCACACTTAAGAGTCGGGCCCCACAAGAACCCCCCCACCAAGCTCCCTGTGCCTTGGTTGGCCTCCACACATCTGGAGGAGGGCTCCAGACCCCCTGTAAGGACCGCATGTGTGCTGTGCCCAGCGTGCAAGGCCTCCCGTGTCACAGGAGGGAGGCTCCCATCGGTGCCACAGAGGGCTGTTCACATAAAGTTCACACTGCCCTTTTCAGCCCAGCCCCCAAGGCTCAGACCAGATGCCACTCATCCAGTGTGGGATGGGGAAAGTGCAGCGAGTCCGGGACAGACTCCTGCGCCAGACGTCATGAGTGCTCAGGACAGAAGGGGCACGTCTAAGAAGCCCCAGCAGCCGAGTCTGGAACAACTGAAACAACAATAATTACAAAACAAAGACCTACAACCATCAAAGTGTAATAATCCTTGAGCCTACAGCAGCCTCAACTACACTAACGAACAAAGCGCCAACTGATGAGTGTGGAAAGAAGGCCAAAATCAGCAAGGTCACCACTTCTACACACTCGAGGTGATAAGAGACCCAGGAGAGGATCACTGAGGACGTCAGACCCAGTGGATGAAAGGTCACTAGGGAAGAAGACTGCTCACGTCTCCCCGCCACTTCACACATTTCAACGTGGAAAACACATCTTGCGGTAGGGACACCTGGAGACGCCCCCGCACTCCAGGCCCGCATCCCCGATAGCAGGACGCTCTGCTGGGGACACAAAGCACACAATGGTGGCTGTGAAGACTTCTGGCAAAAAGGCAACCAGGAGAGAAGCAGAGTGTGGGACATTCTAGCTGAGAATGGCTTAGATTCTTCACAAAAACAATCCACGCCATAAAAATAACAGCAGGGGCGCCTGGGGGGCTCAGTTGTTTGAGCATCTAACTCTCGACTTTGGCTCAGGATCCCAGGATCGTGGGCTCAAGCCCCGAGTCAGGCTCTGTGCTGACAGCGCAAAGCTGGCCTAGGAGTCTACCTCTCTGCACCAACCCCACTCTTGCCCTCGCCCTCTCCCTCTAAATACATAAACTTAAAATAAAAACAGTAACAACAAATGGTCAGAAGACTAACCTAGATTAAAGGACCACAGAACAAAATGAGTGCATGTAATGAATGAAGCCTGACTGAATTCTAAAACAATGTATCAGAGACATTTCAGGGACAACAGGGATAGAGCTGAACGTGGGCCGGGTATCAGATGCCATCCCAGAACTCTGTTTCCACCCTCTCCGGGGGAACGCCCAACAACTCTCCAAAGACGCGCTCGGAGTGCAAGGGAGAAGCGGCAGGCCAAGGGCGGCTCCTGGCACAGGGCCCCGGCAGACAGCACTCATGGGCGCTGTGTGTCCAGACGCTGCACATGTCCACGTGCGCACACAGAAACACGACCGATGTGGTGAAAACAACACCACCGGTGAGGCCAGGAGCAGAGTACGTGGGGTGCCGCCACACGATCCCCTCCAAATTCACGTGCGCCTGAGCCTCCTCAACATAAAGCACCCGGGAGAAGAGACGAGCAGGCTCTGGGCAGGGCTGTGAGCACGGGGCCCCGGCTCGTCCTAAGCCCCCATTACCGCACACGGCTCCCCTGTCCTCGGGGCCCAGAGCGAGCCCGCCCTCAGAGCAGACGGAGGACAGCCGCCCCCCTGCATGGTCCAGGCTGGCCTGACCAGAAGCCGTCCCCTGGACGGGACAGAGACCTGTGAAAGCAGGGACGCGGCGAGAGGTGCCCTGCACGCAGGCACCAACGCCGCCAGCTAAGCCGCTGCGAATGGAGACCTTCGGTCCCCGTGCCGCGGCCCCTCCAGCTGCCAGCAGCAAGTCTGTCACAGTCTCTCAGGACACACGGGAGGGGGGACCTAGCACACACAGGCCATGCTCGCACCGCTGTCCCAGAGCACGCCACCTCCCTTCTGGCCCCAAGCTTCTTGAAGACCTCTGTCTGTCCGGTTTCCGTGTGAACACGGCACGAATTCTCAACACTGAATCTCTAATTTCGTATCTGACGTTAGACACATAAAACGGGCTTGTTTAGGGAGTGCGTCCAAAGAAGGAATGAAGAAAATCCGTTATTTTCAAGCAACCAAATGAGCAAGCATGCGTTCATTAACAAGTGTTTAGTGAGCACACGGGACCTTTCTGGACACGCAGAAGCTCAGGACACACACTGCCAGAGAGACAGACACAGAGACGGTCCGGTCCAGAGAGGCACGTGCAGGGGCAGCGGTGGCATGGGGAGCAGATGACAGGATACAGTCAGGAGGTGTGACAGGAAGGGCGTCCTGCTCACGGAGGGGATAGGGCACGGCAGGGGAGCGGGGATGTCTCTGGAAAGATGGTCATGTGATTTATCGGGAACGGTCTGACTGGAGAAAAGTTTTTGGAAAGAAGTAAGAGTTCTGGGGGCGCCTGGTGGCTCAGTCAGTTAAGCGTCCGACTTCGGCTCAGGTCATGACCTTGCGGTTCATGAGTTCAAGCCCGTGTCGGGCTCTGTGCTGACAGCTCAGAGCCTGGAGCCTGTTTCAGATTCTGTATCTCCCTCTCTCTCTCTCTCTCTCTCTCTGACCCTCCCCCGTTCATGTTCTGTCTCTGTCTCAAAAATAAATAAACGTTAAAAAAAAAAAAAATTAAAAAAAAAAAAAGAAGAATTCTGTCAAGACACAGCTATGCCTGAGCTGCCCAATAGATGGCCAGGCCGGGGGGGGGGGGGGGGGGGGTGTCCTCCCCAGCTCTGGCCCGGCGCTCAGCAGAGGCTGTGCGGGCCACCAACTCTAGTGTTTCCTGACTTCCCCACTGCCCCATCCTACCACCATCCAATTCCCTGTGAGAACTTCAGTGACTGAATCTTTTAAAGTCTTACAAATACCCAAATGGAGCTAAACGTTTAGGGAAAGAGCAGCCAGTTTGGAAGACGTGGAGCTGGAAGTTAATACTGGAAATGAAGATACGAATTAAGTTTTAATATCCACCTGCAAAACTTTTTTCACGAACAGTTAAAGAGAGATCTCTAAATGACTGTGACTCACTCCGTATGGCCCTGGAAGACATTCACGGAGTGGATGGAAGGGTCCCTGAAATCCCAAAGACGGAAAGTCGTGTCCCGGGAGGAGGTCACCACAAGCCGCTGGGTGGGGTGTGTGCAACAGTGCGTTAGCTCCTGGTCATGCCCTACAACCAAAGATGACAAAAATGCAAGATCATCCACCTGTAGGCACAGTTACAGCGATGCTTTCTTAAGAACACAAGAATCAAAACCTCTTTATGGTCTCTACTGCTCACGGTCACTGTACAAGGGAATGCAAGTAGGGAAAGATAAGAAGTCACTTAAAACTAGCGTGTGGGGTCGCAGTGGAACTGGTTTTCCCTCGGGAACTGGAGTCCTTTCATCCACACATTTAGAGGGATCAGCAAAACGAGTGCGAGCGTGACCCACCTCTTGATGCTGACGGTCAGAGGGTCTGGCAAATCTCTTTAATGGGCTAAATATGTGAACAAACTAATTCTTAATCTTTAATTCCAGAGTAACTTCTAATACTAGAATATGTGGAACCCTTAGTAAAACATAATCTTTAACACTCAATGAGGAAATTCACTTACTGACAAATTTGCAAAAACGTCTGTAGTGGGCATAACTCTAAGATGTCCCGGTGACCCCCTTCCCTGGCATACACACCCTGGAGGATACCTTCCCTTGAGTTGGGGCAGAACCTGTAAATGCGACGAGATATCACTCTGGTAAGCTCGGTACATTAAAAGGTAAAACAGATTTTGCAGATGTAACTAAGACCTCCAAATCAGTGCCTTCAAGTTAATCAAAAGAAACTCTGTCCTAGGTGGGCGTGCCCTAATCAGGCAGGCCCTTGAAAAGAGATGTTCTCCTGGAAGCGGAAAACACAGCAAACAGCTGTGTGGGGAAACATCTCTGAAGGGGCCACGAGGGATATGAGGGCACGCTCTGGATGCGGGGAGTGGTGGGTCCCCAGCTGACAGGTCGCCAGAAAACAAGGACCTCAGTCATATGGGGACCTCAGCCATATGCCACAACAAAACGAATCCTTCCACCAGCGGTAAGTAAGAGGACAGAACCTAACCCTCAGATGAGATCACAGCCTCAGACCACACCTTCGCTTCACCCATAAGACCCTGAGCACAGGACCAGCGAGCATGTGCCCAGAACTCCAGACCCAGGGAAACCATGAGCTTATAAATCCATGTTATTTTAAGACACTAAGTTTCTGGAAATTTGCTACAAAGCAATAGGAAGCTGACAGAACAACCATTTTTCAAATATCTAGGTATTACATGCTACAGTTAAATCCCTTAAAGATAAAATAGGTTTAGCTAACAAACAGTTCTGTAATTTAGAAAGGGTCCCTGAAAAATCACAATCTGGGTACCACAAGAACTAAAAATAATCCTGGACAAGAAGTAATTTGCAAGGTAAGATATAAACACATGCACGTAAATCAAAAGCACGCCAACTGGAAATCACAAACACCTGAAGTACCTGTCAGAGAGTGAACGAGTTCCGCCGTCTCCACGTCAAACAGATTCGCCGTTCTGTCCCAGGAGGCCGTCACTGCCTGCTTCCCCCCAACCAGCCAGTCAGCGGCTATGACCACTCCCTGGTGGCTCTTAAGAGATGTCAGCGGCACCCGGATGGTAGGACAGTCACTGGACACATCCGCGTCAACATCAGGCTCGTCTTTATCGGAGCACTCCACTTCATCTTCGCCACATATCTGCTGCTGATTGTGAGAGCAGAGAAGAAATTCCCTGGGAATCTTGAGTCTTTTCTGACACAGCTACACAATCAGACTGTTGTCATTTGTCTTTCTAGGACTTGATCATCGTTATGACCAACAACAGCACGGTATCTGGCAAGTATCTGGAGCTTGATGACTGTTTATCAACTTCATGATTATCTACTTGGTTAAAACCCACGACCACGTATAAGAAGAGAACAAAATTAAGGCCACTATGACATCAATAAGCTACAGTCCATTTCCAGTCAGCAATAAAATGGCAAATAAAATGATTTTATTTTAAATTTTTACCACATATTAGGAGCAATGTACTAAAATATAAAATACATTTGAAAGTCAGTAATTTATCACAATAAAAAAAGAAACATTTCAATTCTCAGAAGGCTACTTAGAATTCGATTGCTATAGAAACAGATACGAGTTCATTTTATTTTCCTGTAAGGTCTTTTGTCAAAAACTAAAATGAAAACACGAAAGGCTTCAGCTCTTTAAGAAAACATATCGATCTTTCATTCAACAAATATCAGGTGCTTACACACCGCCAGACCACATGCCAGTCCCACAGCAGAGAAAGATGACCTCTGTCTCACATGGACATGCAGAACAATGGAACTAGAGCCCCAGAGACTGGAAACGTCCTCATTTCATGGAATTTACATGCTAGCGAGGAAGACAGACCACACGCAGGGGCATATGTATGCGCGCGTGCACACACATACACACATCCATACTTGTATGGCAATGTATGGCATACGTACACACACGCTAGTATGGAAATACGTGCCATGTAAACACACGTGCTAGAGTGGTAATGTCACAGATAGTACAGGGAAATGTGTCACATGTACACGCACATGGTACAGAAATATAGATCACACATACACAGTGTAGAGATATGTGTCACACATACACACGGTATAGAGATATAGGTCACACATACACACGGTGTAAGGATACACGTCACACGTACACACACAGTAGAGATATGGGTCACACGTACACACAGTGTAGGGACACAGGTCACAGGCACATGCACAAAGCGTAAGGATGTATCACACACACACACACACACACACAGATTCAGGCAGTAATAAGCACTACGAAACGGAGCAGATGGAGGGATGGGCAGTCGCGAGGGCTATTTTATACAGAATTATCAGGGAAAGACCCTCTGCTAAAGTGACATTTGAGTTGGAGCATGAAGAAAACAAGGGATCCAGGCACAAACACTTAGGGGAACAGCATTCCCAACCGAAGAGCAGGTGCCAAAGCCCCAAGAAGCTACACAAACAGCAAAGTCACGGGCGTGGAGGTGGGAAAGGTGGATTCAGAGGAGGAGGCGGGAGAGACACAGATCACATCCCATACGGAGCTGCCCAAGGACTGACAGCCGGGAGCCAGGCCGCATGGAAGGGATGCCAATGAGCGAGGCCCCACAGCAGCAGGAACACACAGAGAAGCAGAGGAGGGTGCGGACGGCGTGAGGGTCTGAGGTCTGTGTAGGAAACCCGAGGGGGTAAGGACAGTGGAAAGTCACGGAGGGGGGCAGCGGCCACTGGAGGCAGCGTGCCAGGAGTGCATGCTCAGGGCACTCCCAGGTCAAATGCAGGAAGCACAGGGACTCTCCGTCCAGCAGGAAAGTTAAACACACGTTGTGCAGAGTTACCGATCTCAAAGCACACTAAAGACTACGAAGCAAAGTCAGGGAGGCCTGCAGGGTGGAGAGCATAAGAGCGATGAGGGGAGAACACCCAGGAAGAGGGCCAAGCGGGCCGGCAGGGAGGGAGGGACACCGAATGCGTCCGGTCTGGGCTGGCTCCAGGGACTGGCAAAGGGCTTGGCAAGGTGGCAAGCACAAGTCCAGAAAGACCACTCCTGACCTCGTGCGTGCAGAGAGGATACAACATGAGTGGCCAGGCCGGAACGGGGAGCCTCGGCAGGGACTAGAGGTGACGGCCCCTGCGGGCTAACAGCATGAGGACACACCCCAGGAGCATAACCTGCTCCAGGAGAAAGGACCCTGACCGGTAACCGCACCCCAACAGGAAGAGCAATGTGGTCCCTGGAGATGCCGCATGGGGATACTGTGATTCGGGGCTCTCCCCCAGCCAACAATGGCCCCTTGGCCACGAGGTTCCTCAGCTCCCACAGCCACTCGTGAGGAGCCCCCGGGCCCTCTCTGGCCCTGACGGGCAGGGCCGGCCTGCACGGTGCCTCAGGCAGGCACAGAAGAGGGGTGCCGGGTGGAGCCGCGGCTCAGCAGAGATCTCTGGGTAAGTGTTACATAAAGGGTAGACGGGGAGACAGGACAGAGAAGTGCATTCAGAATTACAGAAGAACCAGAAGCAGTGAGATGTCACAGACAGATGGAAACGGAAGATGGAAAACAGGTGAGGAAGAAGAGACGCATCAAAGATAATCCCAAAATTCCTGAGAGTTTTGCTCACTGCTGGCACACAGAACTGGTGCGCCTGCTGTGCTTTTCCCTGAGAACTGTGAAGGAAAAAGTGACAAGTAAGCGTGAATGCAGGGATTTCCTCAGAGCGGGTCCAGGGGACCCCGATTTCAGAGAGCTCTAGCTCTCGGGACGCACGATGGAAAGGTCAATAGGAACCTTCACAGAAATCATTTGTCCAAACTAGACAAGAATTGAAAGTATTTTAAAATGCAAAGATAGTAAGTCGCATTCACGAATAATTATAAGTTTTTCAACTTTTTTTTCATGTTTATTTTTATTTTTGACAGAGAGAGACAGAGCATGAGCGGAGGAAGGGAGAGAGAGAAGGAGACACAGAATCGAAAGCAGGTTCCAGGCTCCGAACTGTCAGCACAGAGCCCAATGCAGGACTCGAACCTACAGACTGCAAGATCATGACCCGAGCCTAAGTCGGACACTCAACCGACTGACCACCCAGGCACCCCTATAAGCTCTTTTAACACTTGACGTGAAGAGCAGGGGAAGGAGTGAGAATGGTCTGTGTGCTTTTTGCCCACATCTTGGAGACAATCCATTTCGGTTGAACCATTTTGACCGCCAGCAACAGCGGAGGAGAATGTCCAACATTGCTGACTTAATGCTAAGTGGATCTCCCGAACACGAGCGGCCACAGGACCAAGGAGCCACTGAATCACGGTTCTCGTGAAGGAAGGGTCCCTGGAAGCCACGTGGGTAACCTGATTCGATCTTCCTGTTTCAACAGGGAAAGTGAAGCCACCCGGTGAATTAAAGCAGTTGCTCGACATCACACAGCTGGGGTCCCACAGTGACTTGACAGGCCATCTGAAAGTGTCTCCACTCACCACCCAAACACTTCTTTATCAAATATTTCTTGGTACATGCCAACTAAAACTCTCTGGTCCAAGCTAAATTTTAAAAAGCTGTACTGGTGAAGACGAACAAGATCTTTTTTTTAAATTTTTTTGTAAATGTTTATTATTGAGAGACAGAGACAAAGCGTGAGCAGGGGAGTCACAGAGAAAGGGGAAGACACAGAATCCGAAGCAGGCTCCAGGCTCTGAGCTGTCAGCACAGAGCCCAACGCGGGGCTTGTACTCACAAACCGCAAGATTATGACCTGAGCCGAAGTCGGACGCTCAACCAACTGAGCCACACAGGCGCCCCACCATCTTTTTTTTTTTTAATGTGTTAATTATTTTAGAGAGACAGAGAGACAGAACATAAAAGGGGGAGGTGCAGACGGAAAGGGAGACACAGAATCCGAAGCAGGCTCCACGCTCCGAGCTGTCAGCACAGAGCCCGATGCGGGGCTTATACTCACAAACCGCAAGATCATAACCTGAGCCCAAGTCGGACGCTCAACTGACTGAGCCACCCGGGCGCCCCAAAAATGAACAAGGATCTTAACAGACTAAAGTTTCTTCTAAAATGCAGGCGAGCCGCTAAGTCAACCCGAGGCAAGCCCAGGCGGCGAGAACTTACGACAAGTGCCATCTCCAGGGCAGGCCGCGTGGGACCCTCCGAGGCTCCGTCACTGACTGACACGGGCTGCCCCAAGTCACCCCAAAAGCCTGAGGTGGCAACTATCAATCACAGACAGTCCCTGCACCCAACGCAAGCAAAATCACAAAGAAGAAAACAGGGTCAATACAACGTTGTAAATAATATATTACGTTTTTATCATGTAAGTACTATATGTGATTTTTTTCCCTCTGCCAAAACTAGAATTTTTCTTATTTCCTTTGAAAACAAATCCATACAATGTTAACACATTTGCTGAACCCTCTCCCTGGCCCCTCTGCCTTATCATCTGTCAGCACTATTTCTTGAGCCAATGGCCATGTTAAATAACAGTCTGGTTATTCCACGAGGGAAAAAAACATGTTAAAATAAAAGACAAAACACTCCATTAAAAATAAACTGTTCAGGGGGCGCCTGGGTGGCTCAGGTGGTTAAACGCCTAAGTGACGTCAGCTCAGGTCGTAATCCCAGGGCTGTGGAATTGAGCCCCATGTCGAGTTCCTCACTGACTGTGCAGCCTGCCTGAGATTTCTCTCCCTCTCTCTGCCCCTACCCTGCTTGCACTCTCACACTCTAAAATTTAAAACAAAAATTTTAATTAAAAATAAAAACGTACGACAGAGTGGCCAATGGTCTGCAGAGCAACATGCCTAAGTTTTATTGTGACTCCTGCGACACATACCTCACCCGTGACTCTCCGTCTGCGAGAAAGACACACTGCAGTAGTAGGAAACACAAAGAGAATGTGAAAGATCCGCTATCAGAAATGGATGCAAGAGCGAGCCCAGAGCCTGATGGACAGAGCAACTGCTGCACTTCTGCAAGGAAAGGTTCCTCCTGCTCCACTCTCTGTCCTCCATCTGCAGGAGCAATGATCCCACCTCCCCCTCGTCTCCCGGGTCCTCTTTGCCCTGGTATGACGCCAGCACCCCATACGGGGGGCCCTCCTCCTCCTGGGATGATGCCAGTTGGACCCTCTCCTGGAATGAGGCCGCCTATGGGAGGCTACACGCGAATGACGCCTGGGGCCCCCAATGATGAGACCTCCCCCGCCCGTCCCACGATGGTGCCCACTTGGCCAGGAATGACCTGACCAGACAGGTAAGGAGAGACAGAAACCTCCTTATATCCATTTTATATTACTTGTTCTACTTCACTAGGAGATCATGGTGCTGTGACTCTGGGTGTTTTCTAACAGCATGACAAGGAAGACTTGCTCCCCCTTCCTATCAAACAGAGAATAGTTTTTCCAAGGGAGTAGCGGGACAAAAAAAAAAAAAAAACAATTTTCATTTGTATTGTGAGATGTGAAAATAAAATTGTCAACTGTTTTAAATAATAAATAAACAGATAGATTGATAGATAAATATAAAAATGTGCTAGGAATTTACCCAAGGGATACAGGAGTGCTGATGCACAGGGGCACTTGCACCCCAATGTTTACAGCAGCACTTTCAACAATAGCCAAATTATGGAAAGAGCCTAAATGTCCATCAACTGATGAATGGATAAAGAAGATGTGGTTTATATATACAATGGAATACTACTTGGCAATGAGAAAGAATGAAATCTGGCCATCTGTAGCAACGTGGATGGAACTGGAGAGTGTTATGCTAAGTGAAGTAAGTCATACAGAGAAAGACAGATACCATATGTTTTCACTCTTACGTGGATCCTGAGAAACTTAATAGGAGACCATGGGGGAGGGGGAGGGGGAAAAAAGTTACAGAGAGGGAAGGAGGCAAACCATAAGAGACTCTTAAAAACATCTGAGAATAAACTGAGGGTCGATGGGGGGTGAGAGAGAGGGGAAAGTGGGTGATGGGCACTGATGAGGACACCTGTTGGGATGAGCACTGAGTGTTGTATGGAAACCAATTTGACAATAAATTTAGTATTAAAAAATAAAAATAATCATTCAAAAAATAAATAAAAAATAAAAATAAAAACGAACTGTTTAGATCTCCTCACTGAAGACAATTCCTACTCATCACTGTAATTACTTAACCCATCTCCAAAGAGAACAATGTTTACAACATTTCAAAGAAAGAAACAAGTAACACAACACTCCAAGGCGGAAACAGCACGGCCAGAGGGCGAGTGCGATCCTCCTGGCGACTCCGGCCACAGTGCATCCCCAGCTCCGCGCTGCCCGGCGCCGTGTCCGCCCACGTGAGAGCACAGGGCCAGGCTGAGTGACCCCTCGGCTCTCCTGCGACGGAAGCAAGGAGAAGGCTACCCGAGGCCTCTGTGTGACCAGAAACGGTGCTGGGCTGAAGGGAACAACTACATCCGAGCAGAAAAAAGCTAACCGAAGGCTTCATGGTCTAAATCCACCCATCCTTCTTCTCAATATGCAACCCGTTGTCAACCACCTACCTTTACCTCCTTGAAGATGACGTCACACACACTGACTTACACAGTTTACCTTACGTTTGTTTATTTAATTCATTTAGTTTTGAGAGAGAGAGACAGAGCAGGGGAGGGGCAGAGAGGGAGGGGAAGAGAGAGACTCCCAAGCAGGCTCCGCACTGCCAGCACAGAGCCTGACGTGGGGCTTCAATTCACCACCTGTGAGATCATGACCTGAGCCGAAACCAAGACCCTGACACTCAACCGACTGAGCCACCAAGGCGCCCCCAGTTCACCTTACGTGAAAGACAGACTCGTGGTCTAAAACATAGAAAACGTTAAGAAACGTGACCTAATTGTATAGTTTTTAAATATTAATGGCCAACGTTTACTAGCTGTGGAAAGGGGGGCGAGAACATACATGCACACATATATAAACAAGGAACTTCACTTTCAACACTGTCCTCTGTTCAGGCTTCCAGAACAAAACACCAAGACCGGGCAGCCAGGATCAAGGTGCGGCCTATTCGGTTTCTGGTGCAAGCCTTCCCAGCTTGTCATCACAGCCTCACATGGCAGCTCCCAGGTACAGCAGGGAAGGGAAACACATGCAAGCTCACTGGTGTCTGAGGAAGGACACTAATGCTATGCCAACAGGACCCCAGCGTCAGTACCTCACTTCCAAATACAGACACACTGGGGGGCAGTTAGGGCTTCAAACTCTAAAGGGGGGTCACAAACATCCGGTCTGTAAGACCATACAAATTTGGGGGCGCCTGGGTAGCTCAGTCGGTTGAGCATCTAACTTCGGCTCAGGTCATGATTTCGCAGTTTATGGGTTCCAGCCCCACATCAGGCTCTGTGCTGACAGCTCAGAGCCTGGAGCCTGCTTCAGATTCTGTGTCTCCCTCTCTCTCTGCCCTCCCCACCTCGCACTCTCCCTCTATCAAAAATAAATAAACATTAAAAAAAAAAGAATTTTTTTTTAAGAGACCATATAAATTTGTCCTAAACTTTGCAAGTGTCCAGAACCCTACAACATACCCCAAGTGGCGCTTTCATGGTAAGTAAAGGTGCTGCTTACAGTGGTGTCAGCAACAGGCTGGGGCGTTGGCAGCTGGACGGCGTATCTCCAAATGTGGGCGGTCTGATCTCCAGAAGCTGAGGACAGAAATCAGGGCACAATTACCCACAGTGCACATCAGGTATAAGATGCTTTCTGCTAGGTTCTGGCCAAGCGTCATCAGAGTTCTGTAACTCAATGATCGAGAGCTGCTTCTGAGACTGCATGATGCTGCTGACAACAGGCTAAATGCACACAATTAAGATGGTGGTTAAAAATACCCCCTCCTTTCATTTTACGGTGAACAGCTGTGAAGTTTCAGGCAACACTTACAAGTACAGGTTATCCTGTCCATCTATCGAAGCTAAGTAAACCAAACAGTACTTCAGAAAAGTGAGCCCCACACAAATACGTTCTCCCCTGCGCCCAACATCAGTGGGCTCACAGCCTGCTGGGCCCCGCGGGTCTGGGGCCTTACTGCCACCGGCCAGGTGTGCCAGGTGCTGTGCACATGGGACAGAGGGAAGGGCCGGGGAAGGGCACACAGACGTGCAGGGCGGGCATCTCCAGCTGCCCTCACAAGGTACCGTCTGAACCTCACTTTCCTCTGTGGCTAAGAGGTTCCCCAAAGCGGCCACGTGTGGACAGTGGCACATTTCTCAAGTTGTCAGACGAGCTCACTGCCTGCCCTGCTAGCTCTCCTGCCCCACGTGCAAACCTCCATTGAGCATGCCTCTCCCCTGCCTCCTCACCCCAACTCTGGCCATCACCGGTCTCCCCCACCCTCCCTTCTCGCCCCAGCTCTGGCCATCACTGTTCCCCCCCACCCTCCCTCCTCACAATCACTCACCGATTACATAAAGTGGAAAATTCTCACCTACTTTATTCCCCACGTGTTTACTTGGGCATCAACTAGCTGTGGTCAAGGCCTGTTCAGACCCACCATATTCTGCTCACATGGAAAAGCACCCGATTGGCCCCACTCTCACCCTCTACCCCAGGGTCAGCAGAATCTGGCCCACGGGCCACAGCCACAGCCACTCACCCGTGCACTACCTCTCCTGCTTTCACACTAACACAGCTGAGTGGTTGTGACATGGACCATGTGGCTGTCAAAGATGAGAACATTTAGTTACGATAATTTACAAAAAAAGCTTGCTGACCTCCACTCTCTCTAAACATTTACCCCTCGAGATTACTGTCAGTGTCCCCCAAAGTCACAGGAGTCTACAGTCAGACAATTTTACTGGAAGACTCCTCAGTTCAACAATGAAGCTGTTGTACAAACTACTACATAAAATCACGGCAAAACCACGCGGCCACCACTGAGGAGCGCCCAGAAAGGAGGAAAAACGTTGGCCCCGCAGACTGCCGTGACCTGGGCTACTGTTTCTGCCCTCCTCTGTTTCAGATGCACGCAGGATTAGGAACTCGCAGTAATGACAGGTGTTCAGAAAACCAAGTTCCCCCTGTGGTGCGAGCAGAAAGTGGGCAACCACTAAGGGCTTCGCAAAAACCAGCTCAGGGTGGGTCACGTGCAGTCTCCCGGGAGAGCCAAGCTCACCTGACAATACACTACAGGTGAAACAAGTGCCACTTGATGTGTCCTCCTTCCTCCATCCCTCGAGTATTTCACAAAATGATGATCTGACTTTTACGGAAGGGACCAACGAGAAAGGAACGACTATGGCTATTTTTAAATTATCTATAACTTTCTTCAATAAAGAAGAAAAAGATCAACATACCAGTAAGAGCCAACTGCTCTGATGGATGAAACTTGATAGAATTTACTGCAAAACAAAAACATTACAAAACAGGCATAAAATAACGACATATCATCGTTTCTCATAACAACGTGCATTACAAGGTAACTTTAAGAATTAAAAAAACTTAACGTTCAATATTAGATCCTCCCACCCAGTTAACCTAAGAATAAATGCAGAGATGCATGAAAAACTCACTGAACATGAATGATCAAATTACTGACACATAAGACATACAGATAAACAACACTAATAATCTACTTCTTTCTTTTTTTTAAAAAAATTTTTTTTTTCAACGTTTATTTATT